CTCCTCCTCCTCCTCCTCCTCCTCCTCCTCCCCCCCTTTACTCCCCTCCTCTTGCTCCTCCTCTACCTCCTCCTCCTCCTCCTCCTGCTCCTCCTCACCCTCGTTTTCATCTTCGTCGTCTTCAAGGTCGGCGGCACCGGCCGTAAGGCCTTCGCAATCCATACTTTTAACGACTGGCGTGTAATGGACCCTCCTCCCTGGACCCTGGACCCTCCTCCCTGGCGCTGGACCCTCCTCCCTGGCGTGCGCAGGGGCGGCGCAGGAGGCGCCGTCAGGGGGGCTCCGCGTGGAACTCCGAAAATGTATGACTATGTGTCTGCTCCTTCGATGGGCTCCCGGGATTGTCCTGAACAGTATTTCTCGTATTCCTTTTGCTTTCGTTTTCCCTCGTCATGGTCTTCAATCTGTCCAATGCAAAACGGAATCGAAACGAACACGGCCCACGAAATCGCCAAAACACCGTTCAGGTCGACCACTGATGGATTCCTGCAGGCCGATCTTGGCGATCCATCGACCACTTATGCTTCGACCCCACCTGGGCCCTCGATCGCCTCTGGCGGCCTCAAGGCTGACCTGCTGGCCGCGGCCGTTGAGCAGGGACCGACGGCCCCGGCATCCATACAGGCCTATCACGAAATGTTCTTAGATCCCCAAGATGTTCTCAGAACATCAGCCCAATGTGCTAAAACAAACCAGTTTCGGCCAGAAACATGTTCTAAGGACATGTCGCAGACCACAGAAGGTTCCTAGAACATTCTGTGCGGGGCCTGTGGGCAAGCCAGGACACTTGGGCACTGCTTGAGTTAAGTCGGGCACGTCCCTCTACAGGAGGAATATTCAAAAATAGTCAAAAAATAGTCTGAGGACGAATTGTTAGACTATATAAGTGTGTTTGAACATATTTTCATTATTTGTTAGTTTTCGTCCAAAATCCGCCGCCAGGGGGACATGCCCGACCTAATGCTTGAGGTCGAGCGGCCGCGATCGCCGCCGGCGCGCCAGAGGGCGGGCGCAGTAGGCTCGCGCTGGTCGCCGCTGGGCGCTGTGGGGACGGCGCCCGCGCGCCTTGCCTGGGCGGGGTGCGCGGCAAGACGAAGCGTTAGGTCGGGCATGTCCCCCTACAGGCAAATTTTGGACGAAACATCAGGAAACAGTTACAACACGCACAACAATATTCGAAGATGGTCACACAAAGTCGTCCCCAGACTTTGTCTGGACTATTTCTGAAGATTCCTCCAATACAGACACGCGCCCGACTTAAACACAGCGGCGGCCTGCGGCGGCCGTCGGCGGCCACCTGCGGCCTTCGGCGGCCATCGGCGGCCACCGAGGGCCCAGTTTGGAGTCCCGGAACGGTGCGGCGACGGACCGTGCGGTGACCTCGAAATCCCCCAAGACCTCGCCGCACGGTCCGTCATCGCACGGTCTTGGGACCCCGGAAGCCTCTGTCGACCGAGACGTCCTCGGAGAACGACCCGAGCCCCAAAACCGTGCGGTGACCCCGAGTCGCCACCGACTCACCGCACGGTATGGTCACCACACCGTTTGGGCCGTTTGGGGGCCCCCGATCCAGGGAGCGGAGCGCGAGGCTCCAGGAGCGGGGATCGGGGATCCGGGGTCGGGGCTCGAGGACCGGAGATCGGGGGGCGGAGTAGGGGGCGGGATGAGGAGCAGGGATGAGGAGGAATACGGGGAATAGAGGAAGAGGAGGAGGAGGAGTAGGGAGGACGGGGGATGAGGAGGAATAGAGGAGGAAGTGGACGAATAGGGATGAGGAGGAATAGAGGAGGTGGTGGAGGAGGAGGAGGAGGAGGAGGAGGAGGAGCGGTGAGCTGAAGGGCGGACAGGGCCAGGGCGAGGAGGGCGCGGGAATGTGAGGAGGATGAGGACGAGCGGACTGTGCCAGTTTACCCCCCAGGGGGGGCCTCTGCGCGGGCGCCGCAGCCTGCGGCTGCGCAGCGGGCTCCGGCCAGAGCCAGGCGAAGAAGGAGCCGAACCAGCCGCCGCCCTGCCGGCTGACGCAATGCCAGCGGGGAGCGTGACGAGGACGACACTGCGGCGCAGTGTATTTGGAGCCGGCTGGGGGCAGAGGTAGGGCGTGACTGGCTCCAGCTGTCCCTGCCCCTCCCGGGCCAACTGCTCCAGCTGGGTATGGAGCGCCGAATTTAGAAGGACAGGGAACGGCGTAAGCAGAAACTTTCGCCGGTCCGCGCGGATTTCTTGGCTCCGCACTGGACCGCCCCTCCCTGGCGCGCAGAGCGCGCCCAGGGCGGCGCCGGAGGCGCCGCCGGGCGAGCCTGGCGAGGATCCAAGAAATCGGCGCCGAGCGCGAAAAAATTATGTTTAATCATTATGTTGGTTTTCTTCTTCGAATGGGATACTGAATTTGCCCACTTTCCCCTCCAGACTGGTTTTTCCGGTACCCCTCCAGACCCAGACCCCCGACGTCGTGATTTGTTTCACAAAGCCACCCCCCAGAGGTTTGGACCCCTTCCCCTGGACCAATTTTTCATCCCGAGTCGTTTCTTGACGGCCCCGAGGCCTGGCGAGGGCCCCCGGAGGCCGAAATAGCGAAACACCTCCCGTCGTGATTGTTATTTCACAACGCGAGGGGGTCTGGCAATCTGCCCCCCTCTCCCTCCCGACTGGTCTTGCTGGCACCCCTCCAGAGCAGGCGCTCCCGCGGCCGCCGCCAAGGCAGGCTCGGGTCGCGACGGCCTGCGCGCGCAGAGGCGTCTCCGACGCTGCGAGGATCGCCCTCCGCCTGGGACATTGTCGCGGCTTCCCGGAAGCGCAGGTCGTTCGATGTTGGCCGATTCTGGGCCTCCTCCTCCTCCTCATTTTTCTCATTCTCCTTCTCCTCGTCTTCGTCCTCGTCCTCGTCCTCCTCCTCCTCCTCCTCCTCCTCCTCCTCCTCCTCACTCCTCCTCCTCCTCCTCCTCCTCCTCCTTCCTCTCCTTCTTCTTCTCGTCCTCGTCCTCGTCCTCGTCCTCCTCCTCCTCCTCCTCCTCCTCCTCCTCCTCCTCATACTTACGGGCGGCGATCAACCTCGAGTGTCCGCGCCGGGGGCGCCGCCGCGTCCACGCGGCCGCCGCGGACAAATCCGCCGCCCCGGTCTGCGTTTGCAAAGGGATGGAATCCAGGGGGGGTTGTCCTTGGCTTAGGTCGGGCGTGTCCCCATTCAAGGGGACTTTCGACGAAAAATGAAGTGTAGAAAAATGCCAAAAAAACGCCCAAAATACTCAGAAACAGTCCCCGGACTATTTTTTGACTATTTTTGAATATTCCCCCTGTAGAGGGACAGGCCCGACCTAATCCTTGGGTGATCCTGGCACGAGGGGCTCTCCAAACTCGCCAGCCTTAGGTAAATCGGCCCTGGTGGTAACCGAATTCAGCATATGGAAGAAAGAAACAAATGTGTAAACGTAAACTTTCGACGGTCCGCGCGAATTTCTTGGATCTGCGCTGGACCCCCTTCCTGGCGCGCGGAGCGCGCCAGGGGCGGCGCCTGAGGCGCTGGGGGGAGGGTGAACAGTTACTGTAGGGGGGCCGCCACTTCCTCTCAGAAACGCAAATCTTCCTCCAGGAAGTCGGCCCGCAAGAACACTCCAGAGCCGCCCAAGAACGACACCAAGCGTGCCGGCGTTCGTCGATCCCCACGACGGTAGACTCTTCCCGCCCTGGTGCGCTGGAGCGCGCGGCGCGCGGGAGCGTGCGGGTGCGCGAGAGCCGGGAGAGTGATCACGTCTTTTCCCCCAGCAATGCTTGCACGTAGAGGCCAACACTCCAGTTGTTAAAAAGAACTGTTGGGTTCGACGGGCTTTCTCCACGTTGCCGCCCGGGCAACCTCGTGGGCGCCACGTGGGCGCCCCGTGCGCTGGGTGGGTTTCCCGAGCATGCGCCACGTTACCGGCCGTGCCGCCTCGTAAGCACCTCGTATGGGGCCCTGTGCGCTTGGTGGATTTGCCAACGTTGCGCCCGGTTGCCGCCGGTGCCGCCTCGAGGACGCCTCGTGGGCGCCCCGCGCTCTGACTAGTAGCACAGCTTACCCGCAATTGTTTCCACCCACGACACCCAGCAAAGCAACACGGCACAGACTCCACCACATCCTTTACACCGCAAAACCTTCACGTCCATGATTCGCACCACATAGCGTGCATTAAATAGCTAATTCTTCTTCATAGCCTGCACCGCGTTGCTTTACCTCCACAGTGCCATAAGGCATTGTTTGGTGTCAGCGCTGGCTGAATATATGAATTTGGTTTCTCGGATATCCGAATATAACCACCAATGCTGGCGTGCTGAAAAATCTATGTTACTAGATAGCTCTGCATGAAGCTCACGTGACACGTGCTGCTGGCGCGCTGTGTCTCTCTCTGTCGCAGCTCCTGAGCTAGTCCGCGACTTGCACCGTAGGGCGTAGACCTCACATTGACAATTGACATGTGACCATCCTTAGACCCCTAGAAGAGACACCTCAACAAATTTAAATTTCAAAGACGGACATGGTCCAGGGTGACGTGGCTTATCCCCTCCCACTCAAACCTCATCCATTTTGATTTCTCAGCGCGTAGCAGCGTAAACACGGGCCTGCGGTCGAGTATTCAAACGCCACAAGTATAAACTCGCGTGCCCTGTCTGATCTGCAAGCTCCCGCACAACGGCTTGGCGATTATACCGCGCTGAGTGTCGTAGTGGACGTGCCAGCTTCACCCTGCAGTCGACACTCGAATGGGAGTATCATATCACGTCGGCTCCAGATGACTGCCCACGTCTGGCGACAGCCTTGGTCCAATGGGCTCAGTTGGTAGAAGCATTGGGTGCAAGGTGGAAGGACAGGCCCAAACTCCTCCTCATCATCCACAGCGCCATCGCGGCCGAGCCGAAAGCGCACGGCTCGCTGGCGGGCACTGTGCCACCCCGCGAAGCGATCGCTCTGCTGGATTTCGCCGCCGATGTCCGACAAAGAAAGCAAAAAAAATCCTGGGGCGGCGAACGAGTGAATCGGCGATCACGACTCGGCGTCCAGGACCACGAGCCGCGGAGCCATGAGACCACCGCACGAAACCAGAACGGACGTGCTGCCTGTTACGCTGGCCAGGCCGTTGACACAACCGAAGACTGCATGCGGTTCAACAATACCGCCGCCACTCAGCGAATAACGTTGCACCCGTCGCTCGTCCCAGGTCAAGACATACTCGCAATGGACAAACACCGTATGGACGCTGCCGCCGTAATTACCTGCGCGGCAGTAGGTGGCATCGTGCCACGCAATGCTGCGCCCATCAGCTGCGCGGAAACTCCATCGGCGCTCGGAATGGTAGTGGCGGGTGAAAAAAGCAAACTCCTGCGCCGCTTTGCCGTCAGCCGCGGCTGGAACCGACCACCCCCCTAAGTGCGCCGCTTCCACCTGAGCATGGTGCTCAGTGGGCTGGGCAAAGCCCTGACCACCGGAGGATCCTCACCGTACAGTTCTTCGTCCCACTCATCCATCCCACCACCCACCCCCACCTCACGACACGGTTCCATGGGCGGCGTGGCGCACGGAATCGTCAAGAAGCTCGCCCCGAGAACCTGCCAATTCATGCAGGGGATGGCAGCGGAGAGCCGAGCTAGCGGGATGAACACGAAGCGCCCGGTCGGTTCGACGCTAGTTGCTCCGAGCGCAGCCTGCTCCAAATCACTACGCAAGACACCTGCGCCTGCAAGCTGCAGCTCAGCACGGAGGATCAAATTGTGCTTGGCCTCGCCGAAAAAGAGCAATGTATTGTCGTAGCGCAGCAAGCCACCGCATGATATATAATTTGCGTGAGGAACTTCGGAGCATGCGACCATGCGGCCAGTGCTGAGATCCCACGCGAGCATGCACATGCCAAGGATGTCTGCAGTGCCAGTACCGTCGCCACGTCTGACGACTTCAAAAAGCACCACGACAAGCGGACTGTCGGACTGCGGAATGACTGAAGCACAACGGGCGGCGCAGCCGTCAAGACGGTAGCGATGCGGCTCGTTCAGTCTTACCCGAGCTCTACGGATTGCGGGTCGACTCTGAGCAAGGCATTCCTGAGCAGCCACAAGCCAGGCAACATTTTGGAACGGCAATCGAAATATTAGTAGTAGTAGTAGCAGTAGTAGAAGCAGTTGCAGTAGCAGTAGCAGTAGCAGCAGTAGTCGTAGGAGGGGTAGTAGTAGTAGTAGTAGTAGTAGTAGTAGTAGTAGTAGTAGTAGTAGTAGTAGTAGCAGCAGCAGCAGCAGCAGCAGTAGTAGTAGTAGTAGTAGTAGTAGTAGTAGTAATAGTAGTAGTAGTAGTAAATCGTAGTAGTAGCATTAGAAGAAGTAATATAGTAGTACTAGTGGTAGTGGTCGTAGTAGTATTAGTAGTAGTAGTAGTAGTAGTAGTAGTAGTAGTAGTAGTAGTAGTAGTAGTAGTAGTAGTAGTAGTAGTAGTAGTAGTAGTAGTAGTAGTAGTAGTAGTAGTAGTAGTAGTAATAGTAGTAGTAATAGTAGTAGTAGTAGTAGTAGTAGTAGTACTAGTCGTATCGTAGAAGTAGTAGTGGTAATAGTAGTAGTGGTAGTGGTAGTAGTAAGTCGTAGTAGTAGTAGTAGTAGTAGTAGTAGTAGTAGTAGTAGTAGTAGTAGTAGTAGTAGTAGTAGTAGTAGTAGTAGTAGTAGTATCAGTAGTAGTATGACAGATCGCAATATCAATAGTAGTGGTAATCGTAGTCGCAATCAAACCAGCAGCAGCAATAGTCGCAGTTGTAGTAATAATACTCGTACTAGCACTCGTAGTAGAGATATTAATACTAGTCGCAATGATAGTAGTCGTACTAGTAGTAGTAGTAGTAGTAGTAGTAGTAGTAGTAGTAGTAGTAGTAGTAGCAGTAGTAGTAGTAGTAGCAGTAGTAGTAGTAGTAGTAATAGTAGTAGTAATAGTAGTAGTAGAAGTAGCAGTAGTAGTAGTAGTAGTAGTAGTAGTAGTAGTCGTCGTAGTCGTAGTAGTAGTAACAT